AGATGGGAAGATGGCGACGGTGGTTTGCCTTCGAGCCTCGTTGCCCGACGACGACCTAGCCTGCCCGCGAATGCCCTATCGAGTCTCTGGACTCTTCATGTTATCTCATTGGCTGACAAGCAACTGACACCTCCTGGGATGCTCCGCTCCCGTCAAAACATCCGCAGCCAGCCGCTGCCAAAAGCCCCTATTTTACCCCGCATTTTGTGTTGACGTTCTCTATTAGTGGCGGTGTCTGGTGTCTGGGGGCCCCCAAGTCACTCGACATTCTTCAAAACGGTTTTTCAAGGTGTGAAAGTCACGATACTTGCCAGGAGACCACCCATGGCTCGGCGATGACGGGTGCAGCGGGGTCACGGTTGCCGCCCACTTTCTGTATCCCGCAGACCATTCCCGAAGTCGTCCGTCAAGCTACGTTTATGCAGTAATTGGCGCTTCTGGCACGGTACACATTACTCATCGTACTCCAAGGCCGCTGGTCTCCCACGCTCTGCAAGACCCCGGCAGCGACGTTGTCTCGCCAAACCACACAATCTTCCGCCGACCGCTTGACTGCCATCGACTCGTTGCGACAATGAACACCGCGCAATACAAACTCGGGCCCGAAGCTCGGAACGGCAAACTAATTGTGCACGATCCCTGCTCGCGTGACCCAGTTATAACGGCTGGTGTCATGACCAAGGCCTAACACGCTTTGGGAAACTGACGGAGTCTTTTCCGACCTTGCGGACAAGGTTCAGAGACCGCTGGGATGCAAGCAGCTTCTGACGTCTTCGTGCTCCAACAAAGCTACTGGAATACCTGGGCAGGGTCGGAGATTGGCCTGGGACTTGCCGGAGATGGAGATTTCGTTTTCTCACGCAAAGATCACAGGAGCATCCCAGGTGTCATCGAGCACGGAGAGCGAGTTGCTCGAAGGGCGACGATGAGCCTGAGGAAGGTTGTCGGCTGAATCCACGGCTGGTGGAGTGCAGAAGTCTGTCTGGGAGCTCCAAAGTACCCTATCGACTCTCCGATGCGGGTGCGATCTGGAGACTGCAATCTTGCTCGGAAGGACATATGATGCCTGGACAGACGAGAATAGAGAGATCCAGATACAACTGGACCAAGATAGAGAGCGAGTCTGAACGCACGTCTGACATCGATCGTGTACACATCGAGGTCCTGGAAAGAGGTTTCTACGAGCTTAGTCCGAGCATGTGCGATCACGACGACGTAGATTGTTGCTGCTGCTGCAATTTGGATTGCATTACATTGACTAGTAGGCCCATATTCTCCCGCTTTTTGCCAATCGTTTCTTCGAGGGTGTCCAGATTCGTCTGAATGTAGGTGACTTTTGCAGAATAGTATTTTACGGCTTGCGGTCGCGTCTAACTCGACTAATGAGCGCGAGAAAAGACGAAAAGAATACTGGAACGCACCTTTCGCACGAAATAGCCGGTGCCAACGTCGACGATGACGTGCTCTGTGTCGGAGAGCTTGCCGGGCACGTAGAGCGAATTGGTCAATGGTACCAGGATCGGTTTAGCTAGCACGGGTGAAAAAGGATCGGAATACCCCGAGCAGGTACTGACCAGCGTTTGCTGGTTTGATCTCCGCAACATTTTCGATACAGGCCTTGAATTTAGCTTGAGCAGATTTGAGCTGGGCGAATGAGTTGGTGAGGTGTGTCAGTTCCTGGCGCGATGTGAGAATCCTGGGCCGAAGTAGCGCTTCACGATTCACCTCTTCCAACTGCCTTCGCACATCCGCAAGCTGCGGCAGGTCCAAGTCAGTCACACTAATCTGTTGAGGTTGCGACATGAGGCAGAGGGAAGCGCGTCACGATGTGACCGTCACGGTGATTATTGCTCTTCCTGCTGTTGTTCCGCTCCACTACACTCTTTTTGCGCCCCCCATGTGTGCATCGCATTCCAAAGGACGGTATCCTCAGGATATTGGTATGTCACGTTATCTCGTCACTCCGCACGATGTAGAATGTGACCGGTCCCTTGCAGTTGCCATATTTCATGCCTCCTTCCATCCGACGAAAGGGAATATAATAGACTGGGCGTTAAAGGCGAACGACGGTGCGTTGCAGTGGGATCGACTGTGTTTTATCTCTCATTTGTTGAGACTAGACCTCAGCCTCAAGAATCTTGAGTTCAACGCCCTTCCGAGTGGATTGCACCTCGTAGAGCAAGACGTCGTGTGAGTGTCTGTCTCGTGCTGGGATTTCGATGGGTGTATCCTCGTGCGCTTGGTCCCTTTCTCATCGAGAGGGGGACTCCGGTATCTTCCGGTTCTTGTCTCCGTGACCGGCAGCTTCCTAGCTTCCCTCCAGAGACTGCGGGACATGCAACTGTGACTGCGGGTCTTACTTTGATTGCGCATTGCTATGTGATCCCTGTTCAGGCGACGGGTCGTGCCTAAGTCTACGGTGTTTAAAGCTTGCGACGTGATATAAGCCGGCGAAACGTGCTGCAGCCTAATGCTATCGAGGGGATGTCGATTGATGGAGCCAGTTGTCGCGTGGGCATGGCAGTCTCGTATTCTATACTAACTCTTCCTCAGATACTTTAATAAAGATGACCAACATGGTGTCTGCGTGTTCAAGCGGCGCAAGACAGTGGATCACGGGCACCGGGGCTTCCGGCTTTCGTCTTTAGGCATTCTGGTTGGCAAGTCGAGTCGCCCACGACCTTGGCGCCATACGGTGGCCTTGAAGGAGCTGATCAACAATCTCTATTCGCGGTTCGAAAGCTTGGAACGGGATCCCACAGAAGCCGACTGGGAGCCTGCTCGCATCTTTTTCGAAGCACGCAAGGCCAGCCGGCCCAATCTTGGCGGAGCGGGAGACTGGAATGGCTGGAGTGAAGAGCTACTTGAGCGTGTGCGTCTATTCGGATATCCCGATCACAGCTGTCGTTGATTTGCCCAATTGCAGCTTGACGATGATGCACTGGAGCAGAACCCAACACTCCATCTGCCCCACTTACTTCGCATCCTCGGGCCATCTTCCCTCACGCTCTACAAACATGTTGTGGCTCGTCGGCGAGTTATGATATACACCGTTCCACCAGTGGAAGCCGCATCCATCCTGTGCCAAGTTGCCGCCGACATGTGCTACGAACTGCAGGTCGAGGAGACCAGTTCTGAAGCGTCGTCCTCTTCCACACCATCGTCTTCCAAACCTCACCGGCGAGGCAAACACCAAAGCGGCGTCAGTGTACTGGGAATGGTGACATTGATGGACATGGATCGGTTACAGACCGAGAGCGAACGTGGAAACGGCTGGGTTGCATGTAAGCACATAATATCCCTTTTTGGCCATATTTGTGGCTTAAGAGAATGTTTAGGCACGACTGATGCGTTGTTTCTTGAGAAGCCGCACTGCTACGACTTGATCATCGACTTGACAACTGCTGCCCCAGGGCATACCGCTCGGCCCACTTTCTATGCATCCCGGCCCATTTCCTCGCCGAGTAAATCCGCAAGACCAAAGGGACCCTCACATCGGCTCTCCATTGTGCGCTTTTCCTGGAGCGACGTCAAGCTAGTACGTGTGCATCTAATTCCTTCAGTACACTCATCTGACAGGTGTTGTGGATCTGTTAGTGGAATGAAGTGAATCGGATTCTCAAACTGGACCACTCGTCTTCACACTCCGCGTCTTGTTGCACGCTCTCCGTTCCCGAGTCCAAGGCCAAGCCTGGGCCGATAACCGTATGGACTGACGCGTGGCGAGTTTACGAAGACGTTTGTGTTATCTGCGCGGGTCTGTTGATGGGGATGGGCATCGGTGCATGGGCTGGACGGAGTGCCGCTGGGTCAGATGGTCATGTCCATCTCGAGGGCGAAGATGAAGTGAGCTTGCATGGCTTGCGAGCAGGGGGCAAGGTGCGAAATTTGGGGCTGGGCATCGAAGGGGGCCCCAAACCTTCGATGTCTAGTTTTAGAACGGCCCGTCGGTCGAGTGCCGTCTCGTGGTCGAGCGGCAGAGCGACGATCAATGCCACCGGCACCAGCTCATTCTCCAAGGGGAAAGGCATCGCGGCCCCTGAGGCAGCAGTGGACGACGAAGAAGAGGATGAAGACGACTCGACTCGCACTGAACGGGAGAAGCAGATCCTGACGACGTTGTCCTTGTTACAGACACTGCACGCGCAGACGTCCTTCCAACTGGCTGCTCTCGACACCTTGCTTCCTCGCTCGGCGCCTACCGTGGTTCTTACTTCGCGAGAAATGCCGTCACTAGGCCTCAGCCCAGTCAGCAGCTCAGATGCCCGGTTTCTTGAATGGCTCGCGAAGGAATACGGCGGCGATGTGGAGGTGATCGTCAAGCGGGGTTGGAAGGATGCGATCGCAGCTGTGTTAGGCTATTGAAAGACTTTGCGCGGGTGTGCCACCAGGACATATTGTATCTTATCCCTAATTGTATTTCAAACCTCATATACCCACTCTCTTGCAATCAGATAACTTGGAACGCCATGTGAATGTTTGTGTTCCATTGGTGAAACTGTCGGAGACCATGGGAAACGCCTGGGAGACATCGTCCGGGGATATCCAGATTCATCTATGCTATCTAGTCCAGCTGTGTTCGGCAGGCTGCGGCGATGTCTCCAGAGAGTGCATAGTCCAGACGATTCATTAATCCTGAGTGCATGGTACATCCTGTTACGCAAGTTGCAGAGTTCTAGGGCCATAGACTCCCGTGAAACATTGAGTCGCAGGCGTGTTTTATATCCCATTGACAAGTCACTTGACATGGATTCGAAGTCGGATGCGGCTTGCTTCTACGTCTCAGAATGGACCCCGGAGTTTATCAGACAAGAGAAGGACAGATGCAGTGGCCAAAATGACGACGTTTGGAGGGAGATCTCGCGTGAGTTTGACTATTTCCAGGTGAGAAGCGCGCGTGGCCTCCAAGCTTAGACTCGCTCCTCGTGCAGGAACCAGAAGAAGACCAAATGCAAAGGTATTTGAGCCAGCGAGCCAGCGGGTCAGTCAGACCAGGTTTCATTAAGCACGATGGGGGAACGGTGGCGCCGTCCAATGAGTGCCTGATTGAGGTCGCGGTACGTAGCGGGATTGAGTACATGGTGCTCTCCTCGGCACTCGCTCGCGTTCGATTGAGTTCCCCAGTCGGGCAACACGGTCTAGACTTGGTCATGAATCCTGATTTAATAGCATCCGTGCGAGAAAGGGCCGAGGCTGAATGTTGTTTTGGATTCCAGTCACGGAGGTCCGGGGTCGCGGGTCAAGAGGCACCGATTTGGCTGAGTCAGCAGATAGTTCTTCACCTCACGATCCATCGTCCTGCCCAAAGCCAATCCAAATCCAACTCTAATCCGCTATTCGCAAATGAAGCCTTTGTTGGATAGATGTCAGGACGCGAAGAAGGATGACGAGGGATCTCAGTTGGGGATTTAGCATCGCGACACGTGGGGGCGGCATTTCATCCGCGTTTTTTGCGAAATCGTAACGAGTGCTCGTGCGGGGCTATTTAGGCCAGCGTAGGCTTGACAACCCCCTTTCCTCCCCCCCGTCGCGCTTTCCCTTGTACATTAAGACGGATCGGCTCCGGTCTTACACTTTCGTTCCCCCGCCACTGTCTCCCGCCTTGTCGCTTTGCATCCACTACCCGCGCCACCTGCACACTTCGCGGCCTATTATCTACCTTCGTTCCCATTTGAAACTGCGACATCCCCATGGCGTCTTCTACATCTATCGCCAACCTGAATCGCATCCGGCGCAAGCCTGCACCGAGCATTCCCGCCGACCTCGCGCAGATTGCGGATGACGAACACGCCAGCGTCTTTGACTGTTTCGCTACACCTCAGAAGCGACACTCGTTTACGCTCTATCCTGCTGTACTGCCTGACACGGCGTCCATCGCGCCCTCGGTCTCTCACCGCTCGCACTCTTCGACAGATTTCAGCTTCGAGACCCACCTGCACGGGACCTCGCCCTCGCGAGCCGGTTCCCCACACTACGTAACACGACGGCGGGCTGAATCCACCGCGCCTCTGCACACGGATCTGCCGTCCTGCCCGCCATCTACAGAGACTCCGGCATTCCCCGCGCCGCGCCCCAGTTTTCTCTCCCGACTCAATCTCTTTTCGGCCGCCGCGGCCGCGACGACGACGCCGGCACCAGTCAGAGTGCGCAAAGACACGATCTCGGCGCCTCGCTCGACCTCGCTCGCGTCGCTTCCTGCGGGGATGGTCCCACCGGAGCTCGCTGCGCTCTCTGGTCGGCCGCCCATCGCGATGCGCGAGCTGAAGCTGCCTGTGCCGGCTCGGTCAGGATCGAGATCATCCTCGGCCTCGGATTTGACTCGGGCGTCGTCCAGTGACGACTCGGCAGAATTCGATACGGATGTGACCTCGCCGCCCACTTCACCGACCTCGCCGTTGTCGCTGGTGCCGAAACACCCCTGCGACGACGGACTCCCCACGCTCAACTTTCTGCCACCGACGCCACCGAGTGGGTTCATTGGAGCAAGGCGGAGCGTTATTCGCAAGCCCAGTGCTTTGTCGCAGCCTGGTAAGGAAATGCAGTCGTATTCGCTTGCAAAACTAACTCTCAGGACAGAAATGGTACAATCTTCTGCGTCGATTAGCGAGCAACTCCCATCCTCAACTATGACCCTGCCTCAAGCGTCACTCCCCGTCCGGTCTATCTCTCTCCCTCATCTCATGGCTACTCCGTCTCATCTTTCAGCTTCCGCTTCGTCGACTAGAAGTAGCAAACACGGAAAACGTAAGCCCGCGCCCCTGCCGGCGCTTTCTACCCCGACGAAGGAATCGCTCGTTTCTGCCCTCTCACGAGAAGTTGTCGATTCGCGGGGTGTCAGGATTCCGTTCGGGCAATTACTCGGGCTGGACGAGGTCGGTGATGGTGTCAATGTGCAGATCGAAGAGGGGAGCTCGACGAGAGGGAATGGCAAGCACATTCATCGGACGCTCGTGATCTTTCTGCGGCACTTCTGGTGCCCGTTGTGCACCGACTACGTTGCCGCGCTCGCTGGCGGCGTCCGGAAAGTTGCGGAGGATGAAGCTTGTTCGTGTAAGAAGCCTGGTGCGTTGGGGGTATCGAATTCCGAAGCGTACCTTGCGAGTGTCGTGCGATTCAGCCTCTCGGCCGAGGGTAGATCCGACTGTGGGGAAGGGGCATCAAGTGAAGGGACGAACGCCGAAGGGAACGCCCATTGGGCTGCCAAGGCCTGTGGTGGCATTTTCGGCAAGGTTCGCTGCATTCCAGGGGGCTCTCCTGAGAAATGACTAACATCTATCCTTCAAGGAACGGTTAGGTTCTGACGAAGAAACGGCGCAGACACACATAGTTTTGATCGCACCCGGTGCTCATACCATTGCCAAGCGATGGTTGCAGTCGTTCGACTTTCCCCAAGCTGCCGTACAAAGTGTTCGGCTTTTCGTGGATCCGCGACCTGCGGAGGGTCTTTATGCGGCGCTCGGTATGGGCTGGGCTGATGTTAGCATGAACCCGGACCCAGAAGCGGACCCCGAGAGTTACATCACGCATGGGCTCATGGGCGGTGTCGGTGCTGTGGTCATGCGAGCGGTGCGCGCTGGCGTCCCGCTCTGGGCGAAAGGTGGAGATATCGGCCTTCTGGGCGGCGAGTTTGCGTTTGAGTGTGTGCAGACTAGGTGAGTTTGCGAGTTCAACTTTACCCCCAGTTTGTTCGTTCCTTGCTCATCAGTTCACTCTCTCGCTCAGTCCCCCGACTTTGCGGTGTGTATATGCCCATCGCATGCAGAGTCCTCGGGGCCATGCTGCTGTCGAGACGGTGCTCTCGAAAGTGGGCGTCAGTGTTTCGCCAGAGGAGAAACTACCCCGGTCCATGGCTGCACGGAATCTCAGCACGTCGTCGCTCCCTCGGTCTAGTTCGAGTGGATTGCTGAGAACATTGCTCGGTTCTTCGACTTCGACGTCTTCTTTCACGCCTGAAATCGACGTGCCTCGCTCCTCGTCTGCTGGAACCGGCGGACGAGGCTTTTTAGCCCGACTTGCGTTGAAGAGTGGTGGAGGATTGAGGATGGCCCGGTCGTTCTCGTCGCCCGCTGGAAGACCGCTCGTCCAGCCGCAGCAGCCGCAGCAGCAGCAACAACAACAACATTCGAAGACAGTCAGTGTGATCTGGGAGGAGCCAGACGGCGAGCTAACGAGATCCAAATCACGGGTTCCCGCCATCCCGCCGACGCTCTCCACCTCGTCGTCCCGGCCCTGGGCGAGTGACTCGATGGAGGAATTCCCGTGCGAAAACGAGTCGGACGAGGCATCCCACGGGCACAACGATGGTTGGGAGCACGTGTGGATGCGCGCCCGGGCGAGAAGTCTGGCGCGGCTGAAGGCGAGGAAGGATGCGAGAAGAGGAGTCCAGATGTGACGTTGTATTATATTTCGAGTTGTAGCGAACATCCTATCTATGTATTATATTCCTATGGTATTCTGTACTATTGCCTATTATCTATACGCCAAGTGGCTCTTCAATTTCTATTTACCCCGAGGTTAATCTATTCCCACGTTCTTTGAATTCGATGAACTCGTTGAACGTGTCAGCAACGCGTTCGGTACGATCTGTCGCTCTGAGCAACTACGTAAGCATACAACCCACGTCATGTGAATGTGCACGTGCTTTGTCACGATCGCGACTTCTCCTCAGCCATCTACAATCCGAATTGGACCATGCGTACATCCCTGCCACCAGAGATAATGTCTGAGATCTTCGTACTATGTGGCTCAGAGAGCGAAGGCTGCCTCCCTCGACCCGTCGCCCAGGTTTCGAGACGCTGGCGTATAATTGCGCTCTCTACACCCCGGATGTGGAATCACCTATACCTGATTTGGGGCCTGCGCAGATCATCCAAAGGGCCCACTGCAAGTTCTAAGCTCAGAAATGCCTCTCTGCACGCTCTCTTGGATCTGCAGATCGAACGCACCGCCAGGGCCCCGCTCTCTGTGACCTTTGGCGACATGAGCGACGACGTCGACGTGCTGGGCAAGCTGCTGCAGCTCTCCGAACGCTGGGAGCGCTGTGACATCCGACTTCAGATAGAGCAGCAGCATCTTCTCGTGGAGGGAGGCGATTGGCGGCTCCCGCGCCTGCGGTCGATGAAGCTCAATCACTTGGTGGCGGTGGACACGCTGGGGCTAGGGCCGCTGGGAACCGCACTTCCGGCGCTGGAGCGCGTGATAATCTCGTACTGGGTGCATCCCCGTCTGAATCTGATAGGATGGGGACCTCTGGAGATGCTCACTCTGTGCTGGTGTCACACCGTCGACATCATTGCTGCCCTCGCGCGGTGCCGCAAGACGCGCAAGGTCGAGATAATGCATTGTTTGTCGCCGTCTCAGCTCCCGTTGCCTGTTTCTCCGAGTGGAATCGAGCTGGAGCTTGAGGCTGTGACGTTCGTCGACCACACCGCAAGCATCGCACATGACATCTTCCGGACATTCGACACCCCACGGCTGCGGAGTGTGACGCTGAAAGACTTTGTCGTGAATATGCATCTTGTGCGCCCGATATTCGCACACCTGCCGCCCTCCCTGACGCATCTCCACCTCTGTGACATCGAGCTCCCGGAGCCCAGGCTGCTCGCGCTCTTCCGCGCCAGCTCGCCGCAGCTGCCGAACGTGACCGAGCTCGAGCTCACGTGGTCGTGGGACGTGCACTCAGACCTGTTCATGAACTGCATGACGCTCCTCCCCGGCACCAGCGGCCGCGCGAACATCTTCCCGCGCCTGCGGACGCTCAACATCACGGGCGGGCTATCTTGTCGCGAAGACGCGCTGTACCTCATGCTGCGCAGTCGCGTTGGGGTGCTGCGGCGCGCGGAGCTGTTCTACGCGGGGCGCGCTTTCTTTTTCGGGAGTGCGTTGGATGGGCTCAGGGCGCAGGGGATGGAGATCGACATGCGGTTGGGCGGGCCCAGGAAGTATGACCACGTCCGCAAGTTCGATTACTTGTATTCTCCCGATGGAGACGATGTTGTCTGAGCTATTGTCTACTATCCGCGGATCTCTGTCATGAACTCGCGACTGCGATCTTCGCAAACGGCCGCGCTGATCATGTAGCAATCGTCCCTCGATAAGAATGTGGCACGTTTCACCCAACGGAGTGAAAGGCTCTACATTCCAATGATTACATGCCCGGCTATCCAATACCCTGTGATGTAAGTGCATAGAGGCTGGCACCAGAATGAACGTTGAGCTAGCAAGGTCGATCAGGACAGAAAGATGGTCGGATATTGGATCCACGGGCCAAACGGAATTTCGTATTGTATATCACTCGCCACTCGAACCGTGAGCCAGATTGTCGCTCCTGCCCATGATGTCTTGTCCGAGACGAGAAGTTATCTCGAGGTTCCCCAAGCATCTGCGCCGGGTAAGAGTGCTGTTCCATCCTGGAACTCGACCATACTGTGAGGGTTCCCACCACAAGCCGCGGTGGACGAAGCCAGGCTTCCCGAGCTGTACTTTCCCAGTTTGTTCAGATATACCCAGGGACCGCATTCATGTTCTCGATCTCTACCGGACGCTGTGCGCCAGCAGATGAAAACGGCTGTGATAATTTTAGTTTCTGCCGCACGACTGCGATATTCTTGGAATGCGGCTCGCTGAGTTCGCCGAGCGTATAACTGCGCGGTACGGCCGGCCGAAGCGGAGCTCAGTTCCACAATCACGAGAGGGACGTTCTCCGTTGACAGCCACGAGAGAGTGCCGTGGCTGCTTACATACGATCGTCGGATTCAGGTCAGGGCGACCGAGCGCTCCGTGCTGTCCGGGCTAGAGAACCAGTGGATTCCGGGTCTGCGATTGGTGGGGCCTGCAGTCGACGTGGGTCTTCGTGATCCAGGAGGTTTCAGGCAACATCAACTTCCCTCTCGCAGCGTGCTGATAAATGTGATTGCGATGCTGACACACGCCGGCGTTGCCAGTGCGCGGTGTGCTTCCCCATGCCAAATTCAGCGTGATGAGGAATCGTTGCTCTTCCTGGCTGCCCTGACCGGGCTCCACGGCCCATCTTTCCAGCTGCGAGCTCGGGTGCTGAATCGACATACTCCACGAGGCCTCGACTCTGAATATTTGGGGCAGTGCAGTAGGAAACTGCCAAAGGCCAGGCCAGTCCACCCACCACCCGGGCGAGTTTGTATTGTGATACGTATCGTAGCTTCCCGTATTGTTTTAATCACCGAGATATGTAAGGTTCAGATTGGGTGAGGTGGCTTCCCGTAAGGCCCAAGGCGAAACTCTGTTGGGGGGAGAGTAAGTGCCGGGCGGCTGCAGGTATGCACAAGAGATAAGTAACCCGTTGCCCTCAAACACTCGGAAGATGAGAAATAGATCCTAAAATGTGGATGGTGATGTAAGCGCTTTTGAGCCTTTTCAAAGCATGAGATTGAGGATGAAGCTTCTTGGAAGTCACGTGACCGTGAATTGATGAATGTTCAACTGTGGCATAATCCCCCACGGGTGCGAGACCAAATGTCCCCATGAGTAGAATCTCTCATAACTCATTCTGAGAACAGAAATGGGCTTAATAAACTGGAATCGTTCAAAGATAACGAGATGTGTCATGTCCACATTCGAATGCCATTTCAACACTGAATCTACCTCTCTGCCTTTCTCCCCCCTCAGCCCTGACAGCTTCGCCACGCCGGGCAACTCTTATTCTTCGTCTCTCTCTGTTTGAATCCCCATTAAACTAATCGATAGCAGTATTATATGTCACGCGAATTTTTGCTATGCAGGTTCAGCCAACTCGAGAGATGCACAGCTGGGGATGAGCCCAACAAAAAAGAGCTAGCTGGACAAAGTCTCAGGCGTCACACGGCTTCGAGGTGCCTGGTGGCATCTACACTCAGCAAAAAATAGGGACCTAATAGACCTGACGGCTTTAACGATGTGCTGATGATCGTGTCACGATTCAGCACTGGTGCAGGAGAAGAGCATCGAGAAAGCGCAGCGGAGGGATTCTGAAGAGGCAGTCCCCGCAAAAATACCCGTCGCAGTGATTCATGAATTCATGTGAGAGTTCCGGTAGCTCGATCGAAACGGTAGACCTGCGACTCGAGCATTGCTCTCGAGGCGGGGAATTGATGAATTGGCTGCCACAAAAATAACCGAAGCTACGGTTTCATACGGGAGCAGCTCTGAAGGAAATGCGAAATGGTAGACTCTGATGACTTGGAACCCTCAACCCTCTCTTTCGAACAACGAGAAATTCCTCCAGTCGACGATCTTCTACTTATTCGCTGGGATCTCGTATTATCAGACCGGGATCGGTAACGTCACGGAACCGAGTCTGCATACGTGGCCACAATGGGCACATCCACGGTGGTGCCAACGGGAATGCTCGTAGCTCGATCCAAAATTCCAATCCATCCGACGCTTCAGCTGCCACGGTCCCTCCTGGTGGTCTTGCAATTCAAATGTTACGTAGGCCAAGTCGAGTGAGTCACAGACTAATGGCCGCACTTGAGTTTCAAGCGATGTCCCCGGGTTCTGGCACCGAGCGTTCATGCAACGTTGGGCTCGTTCAAATTGACTGTTCAACATGGGCGAGATGTTCCACAAATAGTTGGACTATACCAGGGCGCTCGCAAGCAATAGAACAACGACTAGGAGCTTGAGACCCCGTGGAAATGGATGGGAATATGCAGCCCACCATCAGTCAGTCTACGTCACGCGTGAGAGCAAGTGCCCGAGAAAATCTGAATCCCAATGTCTTCGCCCGACTAGCAAGGATCCAAGGCACTTGTCATAGGAACCCTGAATGTTGATCGCCGCAGTTGACGGTGTCACTTGCAAGGAAGAGATGCCGGTAGTGGACGCGGTTCTTCAGACGTTGATAGGCCAGCAAGAGGGCCGGAGGGACACTACGCCTTTCCAGGATAAATAGCATCGGGGGAGACTCGTCAACCAAACAGTTTCATGAAGCCCCTATCAATATTCGCAGGAGGAAGACGTCGAGCACAACTGGACAGGTAAGGAGAAAGCCTGCGTCTCCTACTAGACATGAGTGGCCAACGTCTCTGCGGTAGAAACGTTCAAGAAACGCTTCTGAGTGGTCGAACTCAGGACGGGTGACACTGAAGAAAGCGAGCACTTATTTGGGATGTTTCCCGGACCGAGATTTCGGCCTGGCTGGAGTTTGTGACAGAGAGGAGATTTACAGAAGAGGAAAAATCAAAACCGTGTCATACATTCAGGGACTGAACCCGAGATCTTGCGCCAGCTCCCAACGGGAAGAGAATGCACCATCTGGGCCTCACAGAATGTTATGGACCTTGGTGACCTCGGGGATAGTCGCGGTTATTGTTCAAATTGGAGTGAGAGCCGCCGATCGAGATAGCACAGCATCGGGAAGGCAGGCTCTTGTCTTCCGCGGCGTCGATGAGGATCTGCAAGTTGAATCTCATTCCCCCTGTTGGTCGATTTTGAATGCCGGTCTGCACGTGCTTTATAAATCTGATCCCTAGGGTAGGTAGATTAGATAGAGGGATTGCCGGCAACCACCGGTGCTTGCCTTCCTCGACCACACGCACTCACTCACGCGCGAATGAAAGTAGACTAACTTGGACCTTCTATGTGTCACATCCGATTGCGGGCGCCAACTCTGCAGGAGTCTCAAATCTCCCTCTTCCTCCGCCGGCCGGGTTTCTGGAGCCAGGAACTTGTCCTGGATGACCTCCATCCATTCAATCGCTTCAATGAGGGAGTTCCGCCCCGATCGACACGATATTAAAGCGGAGAACTCGCGTTCTGGCATGTTATGTCTCACATGCTCTTGCTTCATCAGCTCGTGCTCTATCAGGGAAAATCCTGCGCGCAAAAGCCTCACGACCGTTTCTTGCGGAACATATTATACACATTATCAGACTTGTACCGTGCGGCTGCGCTTTAGCTTTCGCGGTTCGTTCGTTGGCGTGATGCGAGAAAGTGCACAGGGCCCTGGCAATCGGCGGTGCTTCTCCCACTCGGCGGAAGAGTACGGCGCGCGCCCAAAGTTCTCCTCCGAATCTCGATCCTCGTCCCACACCATCCCATTCGCCGATTTGCGGCCGGGTGACACCGGCGGCAGCGGCACCTCGACAGGCGTGTTCGACTCGGGGGGTAGGATGTTGAACGAGCGCAGCGATGCGGGGATCCAGCGCGATGGGGAAGGCGCCCGGCGTCGGCGTTTGCGGGGGGTGCTGCTGTTTCCCGTGGTTGACGGCGATCGGCCCCGTTTGCCCGTGTCGGAGGCTGCCAATGTCGCTGCGGCGGCGGCAGCGACAAGCGCTGCAGTCCTCGTCGATCCATGGCTGTGGACCTCCCTCTGCGAGCAGCGCCGAATGTGTCTGTTCAAGTTCGACATGACGCCGAAACGGCGCTGACAGATCGAGCATTGGAAGGCTGAGCAGCTGATCAGGTTCCGACCCTCGGCATTTCAAGCAAGCTAACCTTTTTCGCCAGTATGGACCAGTAGATGCTGCAGGGAGGGTTAGTTGGCTCAAATGGGATGAGCCGACGACGTGCCTTCTTGAGAGTGCTAGGCCGATCGAATCTGAGGGACTGGCTCAGGAACGGCGCAGGATACGGCTTGCTGTAAAAACAAACCGTTTATGGCACATCGTGCAGCCATGCTTCTTCTCACGGGACAGGAAGCCATCGTCCAGGTCGTCGTCGACGAATGGCTCGCTGACATCGGGGTAAAGTACGGCGTGGGCAACCGGCATGCGCAGCTCATGGTCTTCGTCGCGGTATTCGTGTGTGGTGCCGGCGCCGTGGTTGAGCAGGATCGCCATCTCAGACGCGCGTGGGACGTGTGGGGTAGGCGAAACAAGCAGAGGCCCGCTCGCTAGTACATCCTCCGTTGTGCTGCTTTTAAACACACCGGCTCCGGCCCCTGGGTCCGAAGAAGAGTGTGGTGGCTGCTGAGAAGGGCCGGGTGGCCCAGGCAGCGAAGCGGGTAGTCCCGTCGTAGGTCCATATCGTAATCGATGCGAATACAGGCCCCCGTCGGAGAGAGCCTCGGCCGGAGTACGCCCGGCATCGTATCCGATCCCACTACCCCCCGCTGCTGCCGTTAGTCGGTCGCGAGCACCACGGTCCCAAGAAGGGCCGCCCTGCTTTGGTGGAGGGATCCCCATATTGAATCCGGACGGGCCAGTTGCCGAGATTGTCCCGGTGGCGCTCGTGCCATATCTCGCGGGTTCATTCGCACCCCGGGAGGAGAGTAGGAGCAGCGATGGTGACCCACTCGCCGGAACATATCGCGACTCGGGCAAGGGCCCGGCTGGGGGTAGTGGACGCAGTTGCTCGAGTGGATTTGCGTGGAGTGTTGAGGATCCGTCCGCGAAGGCGGTCGAAAGAGGCGCAGATGCGCTGTGATAGGCCAACGTCGAAGAGCGGTCACTCGTTTGAGCGCCGACAGCGCTGCTGAGCAGATAATTGGAGCCGGTGTGCGGAGGCGGGGCCGGGTGCGCGAATCGCGGGGCGAGGAAAGGAGACATGGGGGCAGTCGCACGGACAGCGGCAGAGACACGAGATGAAAGGCGACGACATCGTTCGTTATATATCGCGAGCAACAACTAAGTAAACGCCTTCGAGGTGTGAACGGGGTGACTGATCTATGAAATCCTAACCCCCTTTCGAAACGCTCGTTGCCTCCTGTCTTCTTCGACCTTCCCACAAGCCTCTTCTGCCCCAAAATGGAAGCTTTCGTCCCACCAGCCTCGCAGACTGAACAGTGCGAGCCTAACGCGGCAAAGTGCTTCGTCGTCCGCGTGGTTGATTTGAAGAGAAAAAAGCTTATGCCACGTAATGAATGACAGGTCGTTAGCTTTCTAGACTTTCCGTGGACCATGGGCGTGCCCAGGGTCGCGCTAGCCTGAGACCTCGTCCAGATAAGACGATCTATTCGTGACCTGTTCCTACACTCCTGCGCATGCGCTGCATAGAGAATAAATCATGTATCAAAGCGACGAAAACGAGATTAGGAAGGTAGATGCCAGTGCTTTGGTATGTATTGCGTGTGATATGTGGAGAAACATGCCATGAGCCGATGCAACCAAGGTGATAAATGTCCACGGATGCTGCAATCGAAGTACCTAGATCCCTCCCCCGTAAGCCGCCTGCGGCCCGGGAGAAGCCCGTCCGCCCCCATATGCCGCCTGCGGAGCGGGCGAGGCTCGGTCACCGGCGCCAAACGCAGCCTGTGGGCCCGGCGATGCGCGACCGCCGCCGTAGGCTGATTGGGGGCCCGGCGACGCGCGCCCACCGTATGCCATCTGCGGTCCAGGCGATGCGCGCCCGCCATACGCCGCTTGGGGCCCAGGAGACGCGCGACCACCGTACAGCGACTGGGGACCCGGGGACGCGCGTCCAGCCATTTGGGTCATTGGGATCGCCTCAGACTGACCCCACTCCGCGGGTGCCGGACCATTGGCGTCATTAAACGTTTGGGGCACCGGACCGCGATATGGGTCATAGTACGCGTTCATCGCATTCGGGTCATCGTGGTATGGCTGATTGTTCGGATCGTTGCGTGGAAGTGCAGGGACCGCGTATGGATCTGTGTGCAAGTCGGCTGTCGAGTCTCCGTAGGTCGTAGACGGAGCACGTGAAAGCTCGCCGTCGCCGCCGAATCCGGTCCGTCCCGTCTCCGTGACCGGGAGTGGATGACTGTCAGCACCCGCAGCGCTGTGCGAATTGAGCTCGGGCCATTTGATGTTTTCTCCGTCATCAAACTCGTTGTGGTTCTTGCGCCCGAATTTCCAGATGAGAAAGCCGACGAGACAAAGGAGCGCAGTACCTCCTGCCACCGCCAAGCCCACTATCCCTCCGGTACTGAGCCCACTGGAACTGTCGGAGGCGGCTGCACTCGAATTCGATGGCGAGGGGGAAGCGCTCGTGACGGACGCAACTGGTGTGCTCGTCGTCGTGACATCAATCGTAATGGTCACGCCATTGTCCACTGTGACTGACTGAGAGACAATAGTCGTAGGAGGTAGTGGGGACTGGGTTGTCGGTGTCGTCGGAGTCGATATCGGGGTTGTTGTTGTTGTTGTGGGAGAAGTGACTGGAGCTGCTGGAGTAGAGACAGCTGCGGGTGCAGAGCTCGCCGAGGTGGTAGAAGTAGTAGTCGGCGTTGTCACGGATGGGGCAGCGGGCGTGGATGCAGCCGCCGTCGTAGAGGGCGTTGAGACAGACGGAGCTGCTGCGGCGGCTGACGATGCCGCGGGCGCTGAAGCGGAGACAGCGGTGAGTGAAGGAATCGTCAGTTGCCCGCTCGCGACGGTGGCGGCCGCAAAGAGCCAAAACGTCCTTTGAAGCCGCATAGGTGGCTGTCGACGTCGTAAAGGATGGAATGGAGGGTGGTGTGTGACCAGTGTGACTGACACAATTCCTCCATCAAGTGTTTGCGTAGCTGCGAGGCTGTACGTGCTTGACAACCCACTTGCAAGTCCGCAGTCAATCAACTCCGTGCTGTGCAGAGGCCGACAGCGCGTATCGCATTTGTACATATACAGATTCACAGCCGTTACATAGATTCCACAGCCGTTCTCTCGCTTTTTTTCGGACTGGAATCGCGATCAGGGTTCAGCATCCCTTGTGAGTAAATGCTACCCGCTCTGAGGAGTGTGAGCGCGATCGATATCTGTCAGCAACCACTGTGATCCGACCGAAACCGCCGATGCAAGGAACGTTGCAACGCCAGGTACTTACATAACCTGGTCAAGATTTTGCAAGACGGCTCCAGACTTCCAGTCAAGCGTATGTAACTCCGACGTAGATCATCACGATCCAGCTCCCTTCTTATCTTCGTGTTCGTGTCCAGGATTCTGGAAGTCGTTCTCAATTACCACAGCTCTCACGAGTGTCAGGGCGAGCGAACATCCTACTGCCGCCGAGCTTGCACGTTAGGTCGCAGCTGTCAGCGTGCATTTTCGGGAGTTGCATTCCGCGTAATAGAAGTCCGTGCAAGCATCAAAGAGAGATGCTGGGACCGAGAAAAACACAGCAAGTTAAATTGCGATAGCGGAGATCTTGCACGTGAGCCTTCGATACTTGACACGTGGACTTCACGTCATTATCGACGAAACGCGTGTTTCATGCACATGTGGATGATTTGTGCGTTCGGCATTTATAATTCGCGCGTTCGGCATTTGAAAATGCGGCAGAATTGCGATAGAGTGAGACCCGGATGATGCTCAAGCTTTTGCTGAACAGTCTCTGAATGACGAGTGGTGGATCGAGTCTTTAACTAGATGTGATCAGTCATTGGCTGCAGCTCTTGGCCGGCCACGTGCACGCCACATCGTAGACATTAAGCTCTCTTGAATACATTTCCTCAAGCGCCAGGACGATCCAGGTGAGCAAATCAAGTACCGTCATGTTGCAGTCAATGGCTCATGGAATCTTAGCCTCACCGAAGGACAAGGATGGTAAATTTTTGCAGGGTCATGCGTCTAGAGGCCCTCTGAATGAGACTTTTTACACTCCCAGATTTTCTCTCTTGAATCCTAAGTTATGGTGTTCAGGATTCGTGCATCAAAGATTCGGATGCGTCACTCCGCGTGACTGCCCATCAAAATTGTGGATCAGATGGGATTTGTCGTTCCAAGTGACACCCCTCGCGTCGGCAAGCCAAGGGCGGGGATGACGACGCGTACTACGTAGGAACCGGCACCAGGCTCAAGAAATCGCAACGTACCCTCTCTCACCCGATGATGGCCCTGAATCTACCTGCTTTATAAGTGTGCGGAAGAAGGAATACCTACATCCGCCTACATCCCATGAGTCTGCGTCACCATGCAGCTTAATTGGTACAATCCCGACACAGAGATCCCTGACCTGACGGGGAAAGTGATTGTAGTGACAGGAGGTCAGTTCATGCACTTCACATCGAGCTTACGCAGCTGACCTAGATCTCCAGGAACTGCTGGAATCGGCCACGCCGTCATCTGCGAGCTCGTGAAACACCATCCAAAGCAGATCTACTTCACTGGCCGTCCTAGGACACAGGGAGAAAAGATTGTCGCCGAACTGTCCGCCGAGACAATCGTCACTTTCCTCGAATGCGACCATTCCTCCCAAGCCTCCGTCCGCGCAGCCGCGACGCGCATCACCGACGCATCCGACACAATAGATATCGTGTTCTGCATCGCAGGCGTGATGAGTGTACCGCCCGCGGTATCCGTCGACGGGTATGAAATGCACATGGCCGTCAACCACCTCGCGCACGCGCTTCTCATCAAGATGCTTCTGCCCAGCCTGCTGCGCGCCGCCGCACCACGCGTGGTGATCACCTCATCCGCTGCGTTCGGGATGCACCCGCGCGGCGGAATTTCGTTCGACACCCTGCGTACGCCGCAGGGAGGGCTGCTCGAGCGCGAGTGGCGCTATGCGCAGAGCAAGTTGGCGAACATCCTATTCGCAGCTGAGCTGGCGCGGCGCTACCCCCATATCACGGCTCTGTCGACGCACCCTGGCGTCGTGCAGACCGCGATGTTGGCGCAGCAGAACGCGCTTGTGCGCTTGTTAGGGTCGCTGATGCAGTTCGGGACATTGTTGACTCCGGCACAGGGCGCATACACTCAGCTTTGGGCTGGCACCGCGAGCAAAGATGTGAATGGGGCCGAGATCGTCAACGGAGAGAAATACGATCCCATCGGTGTCCCTGGTGCACAAACAAAGGTGTCAAGGGACGCCGAGTTAGCAGGCCGCTTGTGGGACTGGACTGAGCAGGCCATAACACTGCAACAGTAGACACTCATGGACTATTTACATTTACACTACATGAACACCATTCACTTTGGGTACTTTTGCGGCGGGCACCTCCTCGCCATCTTCCTCCCTCCGCCGCTTATTGGAAACCCAGCGAAAGGGTTGGGTAAAATACACGTCGATCGAGGGTTTGCGTGTACTGCGGACAGGGCCAGCAGTCACACTGTGCCCCTTTTTCTTGTACTGGAGATTACTTCAGATAGAGTGAAGACGACGACTGCAAGCACGCACCGTCTCTAACTCGGGTTTCCCCCTCCACTTCTCGATCGCCTCGCAAAATCTGACAGCCGCACGCTCGACTGGTTCGGCGGGATACTGCCAAGCGAGGTCCTCCATGTGAGTCGACAGGTCTGGTGTTGATGGCGGGATATCGTAGAACTACGAATGGTCAGTGGTAAAGCAGTTAGCAATGTTTGAGGCGCACCCTCCTCAGCCGTGTCTCCATCTCCATCTCGAACTCTTCCTCAGCTAGACCTTTGTTTCCCATCGGATTCCGGAGCGTAGGGAACAGCATCTTCACCGCATCCGGCAAACTCGGCAGCTCGTCAGGATTGAATTCCGCGAAATCATCCTTGGGTTCTGTTAGCGGTGGATGCATTCCCAAACCGACTTTAAGAAGACAGTCAACAGCATCAGGGCCGCGCCATCCGGCCGTCAAATAGCCCTCCAGAACTGCTCTTGTAAGCAGCCCTGCCAGTAGCAGATACCATTCTCTCGATGGCAGGAGTGCGGAGTTGTAGATATGCGGAGTTGCAATCGGGGACGCAGGGGGCGGAAGCGGTTCCATCTCTGGTGGCCCTTGCCAGTCCATTCTGTCTGTCACCATCTCTGGCGACGTAAAGTCCCCATCGGCATCCGCCAGGTCATTGTTTTCATTCTCGTTGTCGTCCACGGCAGCAGGCTCTTCTTCTTCACCCCTCGCCTCTCTCCCCATCTCTGCAGCGACCATCGCGCTCAGCCTCAAAAACCGCGGGATCAGTTCCGACAGCTTGGTGTTGCCCACCCCGCACCCATCGTCATGGATGACGTGCATCCCTCTCCTGAGCACCGTTCCCGTCCTAGCTGCCCTGGTCAAACCGGAGCCGATTCCGCTACCGTCCAGCCAGCCACTGATCCCTCCGCCCTCGGGCGCCAGTCCCCCGGGCATCGCCTTCCAGTATTGGGTCGCCTTGGTACTCCCCAGCTCGGCACCGCGCTTCGTAGATACCCGGACACTCGCCTTGGCTTCGACACAGATCTCGCAGCCCGTGTGCAGATGCCGCGGACAGCGGAAGGCTGGTGGAGCGTTAGCCGTGCTAGGGTCTGCACCTGCGTTGTACAGCGTGCGCACTCGTGCACTGGGGGCTGGTGGTGTCCGTGGTTGCACAGGATACAGAGGACCAGGGCCAGGACGTAGGCTCGACGATGGCGCCGTCCAGGGCTGGATGTCGGGTTGCTCAGGGTACGATCCAGAAACGTTGCTCAAGGACGATAGCGCCGGAGGAAGCGCGACAAGCGAGACAGTTTGCGCGGCTGGAGAGGAGATGGACATCCGTCGATGTCGGTGGGACTGAACGGGCGCTTGCCGTGCGAATAGGTCGTTGATCATCGTTCCGAGCAAAAGTCGCAACCGCACTCCGTTCGGCAGCACATGTGGTCCAGGCGTCTGCGTGCTTGGGAAGATTCTAGGGGATGTTGGTGGCGTTCCAGAATCTTCTTCTTCGTCGACTCTCCGGCCCTCACCCTCTTTCGGCATCTGCTCCAGCATACTTGTAATCACCCGCTCCACTGCCTCTGCGCGCACCCTCAAACCGCGCGCTAACCCCAGATCCTGAGCCCGCAGCCGCTCGTCCTCGTCGTCGTTGTGCGGGCGCCCCGGGTCGCCTGCGCGCGCTTTGAGCGTTACCGCATCCTCCCCATCGGAACCCATATCCTCTGATTCCTCATATGTCTCGGGCCGTAGACGGTGTGCATAGTGTGGTGAAAGGGGGCCGCCTGTGCGGTCGGTCATTCCGAGTTCAGCGCGCGCTTGCGAGAAGCGTGTGCGACCTGTGTTTGGATCGTCATGGTCATGATACTTTGTAGAGTTACAATGAGCGCGCACCGTGCACCCAAAGCATATGGTCCACGATCAGTGTCCGCGTGCTCTTCTCTCGAGGTGGTATGGAGTGGAGATGATGCGCGTGCTTGTGCGCCGGAACGCGGAATCCGGTCCCATTCTGTTGTTGAGAAGATGTAGACGAATTGGATTCGGGGCGAGAGACCGAGGGGTTGGAGGAGGGTGTCAGAAGTGAGGACGATGCGGCAGTAGCGAGGTTCTGTGCTGCGTAGGAGAGGTTCGATACTGTGTTGGTACTAGCGCTGCGGATGGAGGAGGTTGCCGATGCCGATGAAGGGAGGGCGGAGGTTGAGGTTGAGGGTGGCTGGTGAGTGGAGGTACCGTTCTGGGAAGTCATGGCTTCTTCGTGTCGGAGGTCGTAGCCTATCGAAAGACGGGACAAAAAAAGCAATAAGTAGGAACAGTCCGAAGAGGAGATCAATGGATGGACGCCTACGCGAGTGACGATGGCAGGCGTGACTTCACGTCAATCATCGGAGATTATCGGCACTCAAGCTAAACTGTTCCGCAGTACTCCGACACTTTGGGTCTGAGCGATCTTCGGCGTGCATGTTGGGGCTGGTCCAAGCGCGAGTAGCTTCTAGTCAATCATGAATCATGATTAGGATTCCCGTGTAAAAGATATTCGATTCCCCACGTGACAGTTCAAATAATCCCACGGAATTCTAACTTTTCCGGGCCCCTGGTTCCTTGCGCTAATAGGTCGATTGCGATGTGCCACAGGAGATAGTGAGCACCTGCTTGAAGTTGTCAGGCCCAGGCTTTGAAACCCTCTGTGTGTGAAATATCTTTCCAATGTGATATTTCCAAACCAGTGATCATAGGCACTAGCTAAATGGTTCGTGACGCCCCTCTTAAAAGCTTGGGGCGGGAATACACAAGATCGTGGCCGCCCGTGTCAAGGGTAAGGATCGAGCCAAGGTTGATGTTCTCCCTGTCTGGTATTCATCTGCGAATTGTCCCAGGTGCCAATTCCAACGTCATTCAGCCGCCACCATCGACAAGGCGGAACCATGCTGCTATAATGCTAATCTTTCCACATATTCTCAGAGAGTCTTCCTATGGCACGAGAGCCATGCGTGAATCAAGCTGCTCAGGAATTTGATGGTTGAGTTGTCGGGTGCACAAACGGCGTTCAAATTTGGATCTACCGGATACGATCAAGATGACTGTCCTGACTGCGAATTTAGATCACGGATCTATCTAACGCTCCCCTTTCATGTGCCCGTCCTTCTGAGCGAGAAACCTTGCCGGCCGCGCATTGCACAAGGTGCCCAATGCCGGGACGGGGGGAAAGAGCGTGGTCGCAGGGAGCCGGTCTTCGATTGGAGCACTTCGTCCGTCCGCAGCAGAGACGGAGACGTTGACAAGATACATGATCAACATGCCATCGGTAGGACTGTAGCACCATGGTGCTCTAGATCGGACGATGGACGGCAAGGCACTTGGGTGTTTGATAATGGGCGGGTGGTGCACACCTATCAGATATCAAGCACCAATTACGATTTCCCCGTCGACTGAGCTGTGAGCCAAAGATGCCCGAGGACATTCGGGGTATGTATATACATAGATAACTGATTAGATGCTGCGCACAGCCTGCTTCATCTCTCGAGGCAGTGTTGCCTTGTAGTGTAGGGCGATGCATATTGATCTGCAGAGCTTACTGATCTAGTAACAGTGCTACAGAGAGGGAGAGAGAGCAGCAAACAAGCGTGAAGTACGAGCGGAGGCAAGCAAGGAGCCTATTTGAGACAAGATCGATATTGCCGCGCACGGGAGGAGAACAGATGATGGTTGCTAACAATCACAAGTTAATGGTCAATGAAAGACCGAAGGGTTAGCTTACATAATTGAGAGAAACAACAACAGTAAACTGACACACTCATTCTCCTTCTTCACACCGCATCTCCTGTGACGAGGTGTACTGCCTTGCTACAATGGATCCCCAACATCAGGACCAGGACTATTTAGCCGATGTTGTGGACTTTTCCCCTGGCTCTCCCGACAATTTCCAGATCTCGTTAGACCCCGACCCATTTGACTACTCGAATCTGGGCAGCCCCCCGTTCCCCCATACACCATCTTACAACGGATCCTTCCACAACTCCCCTTACTCCAATCACTCCGAGCTGAGCTTCAACGGAGAGCGCGAGACCTTTGGAATATTCGAAGAAGATCACGTCGGCGGAATCTCCTCCCGAGACTACGATCCATCGGAGTTCGACACCGTCAATCCCCAAACGACGTCCCTTCTCATGTTCAACGAGAACGACTACATCCATAGCAACTACGATCCCAGTCAACTCTCCACTGTGCATATCTCAAGCCCCGATCTTCGAGGACCCTATGACTACAGTTCTCCGTCGAGCAACGGCAGCGGGGAGGAAGGGCAGCAGCAGCAGCTACGTAGCAGAGGGTCTTCCGTATCATCCAACCACAACAACGTGTCCCCTTCCCCGCGCCTAGATGTCTCCGCCTTTGAGAATCTTTCCTTCCATTCTCCCAGCTGGGGCACCGACCCCCTCCCGCGAGAACGACCCGTCTCCCCACATACTCAGAAACCACAATCGCCACCAAGGCTCGTCATGCCCGAGTCGAGTGGCAGCCCCACCCCTGCTTTTGCTGCACCGCCCACCATCAATGCACCCGACGGTGACGGTGTCCATCCCCGGCTGCACATCGTGCCTGCGACACCCGTGAGCGGTGGAGGCCCGGCTGCGACGGCCGTGCCGTTCCAGAACGGTTCGGACCCTTTGCGTCAAGGTGGTGAGTCACGAATTGCAGCCGTTACGTCAACGGCCGATACTCATCGGTCATCGTGCAGCCTCTTCAGAGCAGTCGACAGGGTGGAAAGCACCACCGCAGGCGGAAGAATACGACTTCAATGTTGGTCACGATGGCTTGTCGACAGCTAACGTACAGATGCTTAACAACTCGGTGAACGGCAACGATGCATCCTCACCTTACCTATTTCCTGGCATCCACACTCGCGGAAGAAGAAAGTCGGATCCTGGACTGGAACCGCCCACCTGGGATTTGAGTAGTGCGCATGTGAGCTCCACGCATGAGGACGCGGTGTCCATGGCCGAAGTTGAGCATGGGTCGATGGGTGGTTCGCATCGGAACTCCTTTAACGGGACCCTGCAGTCATTCCCGCTTGAATCGTCCGCACACCTGCTGAACCCGAACCCCAAACGAGGACATGTCCGACAGTCGCGGTCAGAGGATCTACGAGTGAACGGAATGTTCCACGGTGGATCTCCAGATTTCTTGCGGGCAGATGCATTTCTGTCCCCGATGGATCCGCCGCCGCCAATTCGCAACCGACACTACCGGAGTGCGTCGACGGGCGGTGGATCTCTGCGTAGCGAACGTGGTGCTACCTTGGGAGGCAGCGGCCAATGGAGCGCAGCTTCCTCTCAGCGGGCCAGCCCCTATCCCAGTCCGAATGTCTCGCCACAGCCTAATTACTCGGACCTGCCTCCAGAGGACCCTTCACTCATTGTGTCGAAGCCGAATGTGACGACTCCCCGAACAAGCACGGCATCGCACAGCCGACGCAAGCAGGAAGCGACTTTCATATGCCCTGTCCCTGGATGCGGGAGTACCTTCACTCGAAGCTTCAATCTGAAGGGGCATATCCGATCCCACAACGAAGAGAAGCCGTTCCTATGCAAGTGGCCGGGGTGTGGTAAGGGCTTCGCTCGCCAGCACGATTGCAAGCGACACGAGCAGCTGCACACGAATTACCGGCCATTCACATGCGAGGGTTGTTCGAAGCAGTTTGCACGGATGGATGCTCTGAATCGACATCGTGGGTCTTCCGTGCCATGTGTAATCTTAGTGCATGCTAACTTACTTGATCCACAGTACGGTCTGATGGGGGCATCGACTGCCAGCGAGTGTTGGAAGCCAGTGGGCGCCTGCCCGAGTTTTCCGGTGGGGGGAAGGGGTCGCTCATGCCCGACGCCGGCGGTGGTCGTATTCGCTCGTATAGCATGGGGAGCTACTCGGAGACCCCTGAGCCTCCAATGCATTTGATGCCCAAGGTGGAGGATCCATGGGCGAATATGACTGGCGTCGCATTGTGATATCCGTCTATTACACGCTCCTTGCTGTTGCTTTTCCTTCCTTGCTTTTCTTGTCGCCGCTTCGAATAGCTTATGCTCGTTTCAATCCCTATCTATTCCAGTGTATCTGATTGCGGACTTTTGTTTGGATACATTCTCTCTTCTCGCTGTACCTTATAGAAGCAAAGAACCAACTTTCCTTGTACCTAGCTGTCTGCTCAATCATTATGTATCTATCTGCTGTCAGCGTGCTACGGCCAGATTATATACTTTAATAGTAACTTGTAACAACATTCCCGCCGTTTTCTCAACACTAGAAAGGTCCGCTCAGTTCTTGGCTCATGAACCGGGTTCACGAGATTTCAATGAGCCCGACAGATTTCAGCAGTTCCCATCACTCTCCACCCAAATTGAATGGTGGCAGACTGAGACATCTCCATTTTAGGACAAAAGGGCACAATCTTGCTCAGTTGCTGTTATAATCTATACACCTGAAAGCCCATAACCCCTTCGGATCCATGAATTTTCCATGTGACCATGCTGGTAGCCTGGTAGAACCCATGAGTTTGTAGAAACCATGATCAATGGCAATTTCAAACTAGAGGTCAGCAACAACCTGTAACAGTGCAGGAATAAAAGGGGGTGTGCAGGAAAATTCACAAGACTTGGTGCCAGGTCTGGCAGCAAGCAACAATAGTGCAGGATGTAGATCAAAGTTGTAAGCAATATGAGATGAATGAGACGAAGTAGTCCTTCTCCAATGCTGCTTTGATGCTCCTGTTGATTGACTAAACAGCTTTGATTTCATCAATCAACTGCTGATCCTGTCCTCTGAATGTAACTTCTGTTCAAGTACTTGATTCGTTGGTGTTCCTCTAGATTTTCTGTGAAAATCAGTATATTGTCCATATGTCCCTTGTTGATCAGTTCCCATAGTATGCCATTCATTATGTTCTGGAAGGTTGCTGGGGAATTTGTGAGACCAAAGAACATGACCAAAGGCTCATACAGGCCATGGTTTCTGCAAAATGTGGCCTTCTATTCATTGCCCTCCTTGATCCAGACATTGTTGTATCCTGTCATGATTCAATCACTTTTTCATCATTTCTTTGATCATCTTATCTTATCTTGACATGGGCTATCTTATCACAGATCACGGCAGCACACGGTCTGGGTTAGGGGCTTAGGAGGATTATCTCCAATTGATCCAAGGCTGTACGACACATGCTCCAGAAGGTTCTACAGTGCCCATCATCACATCACAACAACTCAATCTGGTTGTCATGTCACATCAGATTCCAGATGTATTTTAGAAAGCAAACTTAACATTACCAGGTGATTTACTGCATAAAAACACTCCTTTGGATGGTCTCTTATTCAGCTTGTAAAGGGCCAAGAAAAATATTGAGGTTGACTCTTTGGGGTTCAAGAAAATAACTGATTATATAACCATCACTCACATGCAATGACATGTGAGCTTCCCAATCAGATCACCTGATCCTTTTTCTCTTCAGCAGCTTTGATGGGATCAACGTTCCAGTGTCACTTTGCATGAAGTTTTGATGCAGCAATGCTTCAATGGCTCTTAGCCATGATTTCTAGGTGAGCGGACTCAGCAGAGATCAAGGGAAAACTGTCATAGTTTGACCACTTTTTCATCTTATCATCAACCATCCTATCTTATCTTGGCATGGATTATCTTATCATGGATCACGGCATCAGACAGTCCAGACTAGGGGTTCCAGGGATTATCTTTATTGATTCGAGGCTGCACAACATATGCTCTGGAAGGTTCTACTACAACCCATGACCAGTGCTCCATGCGGTACATAGCCTTATGACTCATTAGTTGTAGATATGACTCAGACTGGATTTGGGTATAAATACTGTAGCTACTTGGTTGTATTCTCCAGTCTTCAAATTCACTTCTCTTTTCAACTTGTTTTTGAGTTGATTGTCACATAATTCAAAGACTCCCCTCATACCCTCGTATCTCTTACCTCCTACCCTGCATCCTGCACTGCTACGCCCGCTATATCCTCTTCACCCTTATCACCCCACTCACCCTTTTACC